TGATACTGTTTGTACACAGAGGTAATGTTTGTTCCAGGGATCTTGTATGGTTCATATTCTTTAAATAAGACTCCAAATACATTATCTGGAAAACATGCAAATGGAACTCTAGTTCACCATGTCACTTTGTCACACAGTAAAACATTACTTCTTACTGGTATGAATTTTATAGGGAGAAGAATAAATTTGTAATACTTTTCATTCTTTAAAGCTCTTTAAGCATTTCTGCCAGTTTAAAATGTGTCTATGTCATGTACTGAGTAGTTCTTGATAAACTTAATTCTGTTCTGTGGAAAAGTAGAAGCGCTGGTGTTCTATTTCTAAACATGTCATCTGCCCTATATTTTCCCTTTTTCTCCTAGAAGATATTTAGAGGGATAAAATCTTTTACCAAAAGAATGTGTTTATTTTTAGATCATTTTCCAAACATACACAGTGCTACAGAACAACTTCTGTTTATTGATTTGTTGTGTCAATAATTCCATTAACTGTGCTTCATATAATTCAGAATATGCACTACTGCCCAAACATATGGTGTGGCACCAACAGCAGGGGACAAGAAGGAATGAGCGTGAAGAAACTAAAGTTCAGGCAGCGCCTCCCTCCTGTGCTATTAAGTTACTTAGTTCCAGCACATGGTGTTGAAGGAAACTACGTAGTGTTTAAACTGTTCTGACAAATTATAGGACTTACTCCTTTAAGTTCAGTAAAAACTTAAAGGAGGAAAATGAAATGTAAGTGGAATCCACCATGAGTTCCATTCTGTCAATTATAAAGGATGTTTTTATAATGAATAGAATACTTTTTCTAGGTGAAGTAGGAGAGACGTACTGGGCTTTCACATATGGTAAACTTCAAGCTTGTATCAGATCCGTCATTGCTTCTGACGGTTGCTGCTTTCGTATGCTGTCCAAGAGGCTGAGCTGCTTTAATGGGGGATCAGCTCTTCTCTGTTTTCCCTGTATCCTAGGTAAATATTCAGTGCATTCGTGTCCTCTTCTCAAGTTCAGCCCTCTGCCTAAGCAGGCACCGAGTCACTGGTAAATTGTTATGAAACCTTGACTGCATAGTCATATATGAAACTCTTCACCAGCCATAAAATTTATGTATCTGATTGTCTCTCACAGCTTTCTATTACGTAATTAAGATTTAGATTGCCTGGTGAGCTTTTCCTGTCAGTGCCTGACACATTTCCAGCCCCCCCCACCCCCCCCTGACATCAGCAGGACTTCATAAAGTGCATCTGATTCTTGGAATTTATTCCACTTTTCAACTAGAGGCCAAGTATTGTGACGTTCATGGCACAATGTCAAACATCACATTGGGTGGTACAGTGGTTTATCTTAAGTTTCTTCGTTGCATAGAAATGTTATTTAAAAATACGGCAAAATTGAAAAATAATGGTTTCTCTGGTATGTGAACTGGAAATACATGTACCAATTCTTGGTATTAAATGTGCGACTAGTCGTGGATTTATCATCAGGGGAACAGTATGCAATTGTATTGGCTTATGGGTTGAATTTGACCACGGGGAATCAAATGCAAGTGGTACTTGGGCTTTCTTTTTTTTGTTATATAGTAATTTAATTTTTATATACATGTGAAAATATATTTAATATATAAAAATATAGGTAGTATATATTGCATAGTCATAACAATTATATCCATAATACATTTGTACATATGGACATATACAAGTCTTTTCAGCAAGGAAGGATATGACTAGCCAAAAAAAGTAAGCCTGATCCATCACAAATGGTTGTAAATGATTCAGGCTAAGTAAAAAAAAATTTTTTTTTTATCAGATGTGTCTGACACCAATGTTTTAAGTGATGTACATGCACAGTTTTTAAATAGCAATATAAGTCTCACTCAGCCTTGTGCCATAAGGCCAACTGTATCCAGCTAGGAGAAGTCATTATATGCACACTTCCTTTTCCCTAAGTGGAGGGAAGAGTTCTTCCCAGTTACTTGACCAGTTTGGGTTCCTCATATTGTAGGGGAGCAGCGGACCTTGAATTTCTGCTGCCAGTGCAGTTTGTCTTGCCCAGGTTGCTCTGTGGCATCCTTTTCTCATTGACTGTCTGTCCTTAGTACTTTTCAGGTGCGAGCAGGCTGCTGTCTGAGTCACGCGTGCTTGCACAGTGGGTGAGTTCCATGTGCTCAGTAAATCAGGACTTCTGTGAAATGCAGACTTAAGGCACGCACACAGACTGATGAGATTTTTCTTAAACTGCCGGTCTGATCATGCGCTCTGCAAGGTGGGTAGGGGGCTTGTAATGGACAACTCTCTTGCACCAGTAGACAAAGGTGGGGGGCCTGCCAACCCCAAGAAATTGGGTAATTTTATTCAAAATGTGCTCTGAGAAAGAAGAGGAAATACCAAGGAAGACTGTTTGGGACTTTTAGGTCTTCAGGTGACTCACTGTTTCCAGTTTGTTTATATGTACTATTTTCGTAGGCTGCTTGACTGTCATTTGTATGGGTTGGTGTTTTCCAATCTCACTTGTGGACTGCAAGAAAATGGTTGGTGTGTGCTATATCAAGAGAAGAGTCAAGGCCCTATACTGTAGCTGGGGGAGGAGGTTACAGTCAACAGGTCCCTTTTTACATGGGGCAGAACGGGGCATGTTCTGTGGATCTGCTGTGAATATCTTGTAGCAGACTCAGTCTATGAGCCACTATTGTGGAGGGTGAGAAGCCAGGAGATCCTGGGAAGCGAAGTGTGTGCTGTAATGTAAAAGAGAAATATACTTTTTGTGTGTGTTAAAAAAAACAGAAGAGGAAAATGCCATTGATCACCACTGCTGAGCAGCTGTCTCATAGCCATATGCAACCTTACAAAAATTCTGAGCATACTTCCTCTTTTCTCATCTTTCTTAATGCAAAATCTTTATTCTTTTTTTAATTTATATTTTTTCACGTCTTCAAATTGCGCCCTTGATTGCAGGCTTTCTCATATTCAGCATGAAAGTTTAGCAGGTCTTGAGCTATGCCCCTGCAGCCTTATCTACCCTGTTCTCAGGGGAAATCAGCTTCACTATTTATTTATTTATTAGGAAAGCGTGTAGTGAGAACCTAACCCCAGCATGGGGTTATGTGATAGTCAGTTTGCTTTGACATGGAGCCTTGACCAGTACAGTCTGGTGCTTGTACATTCCTGGTTACCGGGTTGCCTTCCCTGGATCAGCATTCTTAGTTTATGTTCTGGAGTATTACTATATTGGGGGGCATCTCAAAAAAAGAGGTAAAATTATTAAATGTTATTTCCTCAAAGGAAGGCAGCTTGTGTTGTTTCAGCATTAGGAATGTGTGGTTATTCACTCATCTCCTACAAATCACACTTTTCTTTTAAGAAATCATCCTGTTAAGGAGTGTATTGACTAGGTGAACCTATAAGAATCAGTGTACGGTTTACAACGTGGATGTAATACTGTGTTTGAATGTTTTGTGGGTCCTTTAATTATGTTGCATCTCTGTATTTTCATTTTTAATATCCCCCCCACACACACACACACCCTCCAGAATCTTTTTCCCATTTTTATTGGATAAAGTCGTAAATAACTATGATTTTCTAGTGAAGAGCTTTGTAATTTTGGAAAGCGTGGTTTTTTTCCATCCAAAATAATATTCATGTGTGTGCATTACCCGTTCAAGGAAGACAGTAAAATTAAATTTTCCCATAATAAACTGCTATGGTAATCACATTTGTAAATGCTTCCGCTCCACCCTCTCCCTACTCCCCTTTTTTTCTTGTTCACCTCCCAAAAGAGCATTTATTTCATTAGAAGTGTCTGCCTTGTTCCTCGCAATACATATGATATTACTTGAAATCAAGGAATAGGAGCATGAGCACAGAATGCTGTTAAAACCAATGGTGAAAAAAGGCTGCTAGGGCCAAATACAGAATCTGAGACCAGTGCACCTAGCTCCTTGTACTTTTCTTCCCCCCCACACCCCATCCTTCTCATCTGCCCTGCCTTGCGTTTTTCGGAGTTGGAGGAGCTCTTATCCCTTAGCTGCTTCTGTGCCCTTGTGTGCCTTCCATTTCCTCCTCCTCTTCTCTCCACCTTTCTGTTGGGCATATGTGCCACAACTTGCTTGTTTGTGCTTTCCTATAGCAGCTAGAGTCACCGATTTGGTGACACTCTAGTTTTAACTTTACACTGCATATGCATCTTTTGTTGTTATTTCTGTATGTTGCTGTTTTTCCCATAAAGAACAATTATAATAAGTGAAATTTCAGTTTACTGTAGTTTATAACTCACCAGTAACTGGAAGTGACCTCAAAGAAGAAGGACACTTCTCTCAATCCTGCTTTCATTTTTGTGCTTGGTTTCAAAGAACTAGTCCAAATAGTAGTGGTGTTAGAGCTTCTTCACAGCAAACATTAAAGGATTCTTGAATAATATAGTATGCAGAAGCTGCTGCTACTGCTTCTGTGAAGTTACGGTGAAAAGTCATGACTCTTGTCTGGTTTTGTATATTTTTAGGCAATGTTAATTCCAAATAAACTGGAAAGCAGACATAAACAAAAAAAAGAGAAGGCATAGTTTATACAGACACTGTGCTTACTTGGAGGACTCTAGGGGAATTTACTGTTCTTACACTGTTGAGGCATCTGTGAGAAAATGGAAGGATAATTCTGAGCACATTGAACACCTCATCCAGTGTAGTCCTGTGCAATTGTTTGCTTGCTTATGCGTTTCAATTTCAGAATTTTGAATTCCTGTTACTAGCAAACATAAATGAATACAGCAAATAGATATGATTTCACTGGTCAAATCTATAAAATTAAATTTGCTGTCATTCACCTAATTTTCTTCTGAGCAGATCTTGTTTGAAACAATTAAGATCATGTTTTTCTGAAATACTGTTACTGCATGTTAATAATAAAATGTTTTGCATGTGTGTGTTCCTATTTCTTCCATAAATGATCTCTGGAGGGAGCTTAGCTAAGCTCCAGTTGTGCTTTGATGGCATAGTATTAAGTAGCTGCTGCAAAATACGATTCCATGTGTCTTCAGTTTTCTATGGTAAATTGCTTTTCTGTTTGGGAAGTCCTGAACTGAACAAATGAAACCATTTCAAATTTTAACTCAAGTGTTTCATATTGTCTTGCCCTAGGTTGTTGGAAGAGGAGCCTTTGGTGTGGTCTGCAAGGCAAAATGGCGAGCTAAAGATGTAGCCATTAAACAAATAGAAAGTGAATCTGAAAGAAAAGCCTTCATTGTAGAGGTACAGTAAGTTTGCTTGAAAACGTGGGGTTTGGTAGAGCTTGTTTTCTTAAGTTTGTGGGTTTATTTAGTGTACTAAAAACTACATCTGTATTACAAGGTAAATGCAGCCTGTGGTACCCAGTACAGGCCTGAACCCCATGTCACGCAGAACAGGGCACCTGTCAGAGCACATTGCAGCTCCCCATAAAAACTGGAAAGCAAGGGGGGAGAGAGGAGGGCACGCAGGTCTGGGAAACACCAGTTCCTGGATTCTGCCCCACTGTGGAGTCAAGGGTGCAGCTGAAATACCCACCTGGAGCTGGTTAACAATGCCAGGGCCTACAGCGTAGGTTCTTCATACCATCAGGTCCATGCGTGAAACCGTTCCTTAGTTTTTTCAGCAGTTCTAGTAATTTTGTAATTTTTTTCGCTCTTTCCATTTTATTTCTACTTCTTCAGAAAGATCTTGAGTAGTCAGATGTACCCATAAACTTCCCAAGATACATGGCATTTTTTAGAATCAGAAGTTAGCCATGTAATTTAAATGAAACATATTGTGATATGCTGCTTAGTATTTAGTCAGTAAGAATCTAGGATGTTCAAGATATATAAAATATGTGAAAAATATATCTCCTGGTTTTGGAACTAAAAATGTAACACGCTGAAGGGCTAAAGGAAGGTATTTGTAATGGGCCTCTCTGTGTAAATATTTGTGTCATTCATTACCATGGAAAGTTTTTAATGTTATTAATCTGAGCCTAATTTAACACTGAGTAGATCTGATCAATCTCTTAGCATTTTTGTGTTCAAAAGAGACCTGAGAAGATAATCCCGGAAATACTTCAGTAATTACTGGGATTCAGGAAACCCTACATAGTGCAAGCATCAGTTGTGATGCTCCATTCTAGTTTTTTTTAAACTTTTGAAGCGTGCAGAAAAATATCACATTAGCTCCCTAGACGATGGACAGCATAAGCTGCCCTAGAAGTCTGTGTAAAGGGAAAAAAACTTTTTTCCTTCTCTTCTGTTAGCTACTGGTAAAGAAGAATTCAATGCAAAATAGTCTGGTCATCAGTTAGTACAAGCAGCAGTAGGTTCTTTGAACTATGTCACATTAATGCTAAACTGGCTGGCTTATTTTATAGGGTTGTGGGTTTTGGTTTAGTTTTGTGGGTTTTTTTTTTAAGAACAGTCATTTTCTATATTGTGAATAAAGCCAGTATGATTCGGATTGTTTATGAAGTCAGACAATTAGAATTCTAAAACTCAAGGCTCCAGGGAGAGCACCAAACCTATAGAGGTCATAGTTGTACAGTCTTTATGACTTGAGTGATTTTACTACACCATGAAAAAAGCACTTTCTTTAAATGTATTTTCTTTAAAATTTCTTTTAAGTACGGTTCCAGTTAGACAAAAACCTAATAACATGAATTAAAATGCAAACAGGTGTATCAGTCTTGTAATTCCTAAAATCAGCATCTGGTGTTATGCAGATATATAAAACTGTAATTGCGGTTGTGGTGTATGAATTATAGATGTAAAAATAAAGTATTAGCCTTTTTTTCCTGGGGTTTGAAATGAATTGTGATTTGTATTGCAGCTTCGACAACTGTCACGAGTAAACCATCCCAATATTGTCAAGTTATATGGAGCCTGTCTAAATCCAGTAAGTTATAGCTTTGTCAGTATGACAAAACGTGACTAGCTTAACATATGCAAGTATCAATGCACAAAATGTGTATTTTCTATACAAAAATGTGTATTTTATATATACTTGCATGTTTTAGCCATAATAAGGAAATGCAGAGATATGTAGGTTGGTTGCTATTTTCAGTTTTTTTCTTTCAGTATTTTCAGTTTTTTCTTTCCCCTGCTATGAGAAATAAATTCTTTCAAGAAAACGCCAAATGCTGTTTCTAAACACTGATTATATGTGTTTGTCAGAACAGCATCTGGTGTATTACATATGTAGTATCATTCATATCTACAGTCCTATTGCAAATCAGCAATACGAAAAAGAAAATACATTAGCAACACATGATTCATAGCTTGTAAATCAGTTGTTATTCTGAAATATGCAATTTTCAGGATTTGCTTTCTTTCTGCCACAGCTGCAAACAGTCCCACAAATTCTTAAAGCAGAAAAGCAAGTACTGTGACAGGACAGCTGAATCGTTAGCTGATTCTAGTATGGGCTATTTAAGTGGTTAAAGTAATGCTGCATCCCTTTTTCCTTAGTACTAGTGAAATTCTTTTGACATGGTATTTAAATTTTTTTGTAAGCCACTAAAAAAAAGTAAAGGCAAGTGACTTACAGTTTGAAGACAGCATTTGCTTTTTGAGCCTAAGGGGAGGGCATTCTCTTTTTTCCTAACTTACAGTGAGAAGTAAGTATAAAACTGATTTCTGTTTCTTATACATAAATATGTACCATTCAAAGTGACTCTTTACCTCATAGATAAATTTTCCATTAGCTTAGGTGTGGAGACTTTGCAGTTCCTCTCAAAGAACTTTCCTTTCAGTTTACAAAAGCTGTTTTCCGCCCCTATATTGAAAACATCCCTATTTTTTGTCCCCTCCCCGCCCCCAAAGGTGTGTCTTGTTATGGAGTATGCTGAAGGAGGTTCTCTGTACAATGGTGAGTATCATTTCAACATAGTGTCTTCTTGGAGCTGAAGTGCTAGTGTTAGGGCAAACATGATCTGAAATAGAAAGTTGTTTCATACATACATCTCCATCCCTGGAGATAATCAGAAGCCACCTGGACACAGTCCTGGGCAACTGGTTCTAGGTGGCCTGCTTGACCTTGCCTGGTGGACCTCCAGAGGTCCCTTCCAACCCCAACCATTCTGTGGTTCTTTGAAATTCTTAAAATAATTTTAATGAGAAAGAATTGTCCTTTTAAAAAACACTTTTCAGTCTACTGGTTTGTTTCTTGTTACCAGTTTGTCATTTAAGGTTTTCCAGTGGAACATCTGAAAAGATTCTTCATTAACTTGTAAATTCCCTGAGTATTTGTTTAACATAGACTTTGCCATGGATAGCTGAGTACAAGTGACACCTTTCATATGGAATTTTAACATCAAAAATTATGAGAAACATACTAACAAATGGAAAATATTTTGACATTTCCATTATTTTAACAGCTTGCAGAAGGATATTTTCAGTTGCAGTGATGAGGCCTTGATAATTAGATTTCATAGAGCTTTCTGACTGGTATGTTGTTAACTCCGTTGTATCTGTTGTAATATGCAATAAAGTTCTTTTTAGTTTGTGCCTTTGTTTTGCAGTGCTGCATGGTGCTGAACCTCTGCCTCATTATACTGCTGCACATGCCATGAGTTGGTGTTTACAGTGTTCCCAAGGAGTGGCGTATCTCCACAGTATGAAACCAAAGGCTCTAATCCACAGAGACCTGAAACCACCAAAGTAGGTTTATGGCTCATATTTCGTAACTTCTTGCAACTGGAATTTAAGATCATTTATAATAATTTCATTGCACTTGAAAGAAATGCCTCTAATTGATACTAACTTTATTGGATGTACTCTAAATGAAAGCTGTGCATTTGAAACTACAGTTAAAGACTGGTGGAGCATGGTACAGGAAATGAACTATACTCAGTTACTTTATGTTAAATGGGAAAAACATCCTGCTTCTGCCCTGCATCATGGAAGAGGATTTTGATAGGGACATGGCTTCTAATCAGAGACATTTAAAATGGCCCAGTTTTACAATGGGTTGTGGTGTTAAATAAGAGAACATTAGGTGGGGGGAGCTGTTTGGTTGCTTTGTTTTAACCTCATATTTAATCTGATATATTAGAGCTCTTTCCCCACATGGCCATCCTCCTCTATCCCCTCCTTCTGCCTGTTCCACTACCCTGCCAGAATCCCCCATCGCTTTCCACTGAAACAAAAATGAATAGTTTTCTTCCCAGTCTGTTATCTGACTCATTTTACAGCTTCAGATCAGGCTCCGCATGCTAGGTGGAAACAGAGACCCCCTTTTGGTGCTAGCCTGCAGTTATTACCAGATCAAATTATGATATGAAGCCACACTTTACATCTTGAATTCTTTCTTGTATCCCCAGTTTTGATTTAGAGAGCTGTTAACATGTTAACTTCGAGTGCTTTCATTTAAATAAATAGCTACATTGACTGACGTTAATGGGAGTCTTGATCGTTCTTTTGGTAAAATTGTTACAGCACTTGTTGGTTTTCAGCCTCTGGCATCTGAAAGACTAGTTTTGTCAATATATGCTTAGTGGTTTACTGTGGCTAAATATATTTATTTGAAATCTAGCATGTAGCAATATGAATAAATAACTATATATATTTGGTTATTTAAAAATGTTTCATACATTCAGATTAGGCACAAGTGACCTTACTTATTTCTCAGATTACAAAACTAAAGCACTGAGAAGTAAAGCCTTAGATATTTAACTATATTAGAATGATAGTTGTTGGGATAAAAAAATCAGTGCCTTATTACCAGACTATTTCATCCTATAATTTTAATTTGGTTTTTTGTTCTTTGACAGTTTGCTCTTGGTAGCTGGGGGGACGGTTCTAAAAATCTGTGATTTTGGTACAGCCTGTGATATTCAAACACACATGACCAACAATAAGGGAAGTGCAGCTTGGATGGCACCTGAAGTTTTTGAAGGTAACAATAATTTACAGTGTCAATATTATGTGTTCTTTCTAGGAATGCAACTGTGAATTAATTTGGTATAGGAAAAAGAGCATTATGTAATCTTACTTTATTTCAGTGTACTAAAGTTTGAGGTAGCAGCTGGAAGAGTCTTGGCAGAAGTCTAACATTTATTTAAAAAACTGTATGATTGTATATTGCCAAATAATTATGCAGAGTCAAAAATCAGCACTGAATTGACTCTATCATGTTAGTATTAGTTAATTACATGAAGTTGTGGAACCTTTACTTGTGTCATTGCTGAGATTTACATAAGTACCACCTTTAGACAGCTCCTGTGTCTCATTTTATAAGCAAGGAAAACACAGCCAGAGGGCTATTTCCCCAGGGCTGTGCTGTTTCCCAGATTCTTAAGTCATTTCAAACTCTTCTGACATTTAAATACGCTGTCATTACTTTCACTCCCTATTCTGATCAGCTTTTATCTTTAGAATTTCCCTGTTAGTGTCTATAAATTGAACATAATTGCCTTCATTTTCAATCCCCCACTTTCTTGTAACTCCATCTTCGTCTGCTTTTTGTGTAATCTAGAGATTTGATGTGCTTCCTCTTTCCTACATACTGAGGAACTTGTTATTAACAGTTAATTTAGTTCAGTAGGAAAACAAGCTGTTTCTTGGAGCGTAGCTGGGGAAGACTGATGACACTTGGTAATTAGATAGGTATAATTGCTGCATGATTGTCAGAGAAATAATCCAGTCAATATTAGATTGCAAATTAAACCCCTTTTCGCCAGTCAGTACCTTAAATTATCATTGCGATTAGCAGAGTAGTCTGGAGAAGTCATCTTCCTGCTTTTGGAAGCACATGTCCTGGTTTTGATACATTTGGTAAGTGCCTATGTGCAGCAGTGGTTTCCCAGATTCTGGATCCAAGTGCCCTCTCTTCTTTTACTGTCCCTATTCCAGAGAGAAGCAGCAAATTATGTATGTCCATATATGTTTTTAGGAGGTGTTTTGTCCTGAGCACCACCTTTGGAGCTTTTGTTTTGAAGGTACCTTTTTTTCTCGCATCTTGCTTAGAGGACCCACCCAAGGGTGATCTGTTTCATTCTGGTGCCTAAAAATTTTCAATAATGTCACTTTATACTGAGACACCTACTCTATTTCTTTAACTCTAGCTAGGAATGATTATTTTCTTAACTTTTGTTTACTGAAATTCTATAAATAAAATTAATTTCTTTTTTTAGAAATAATCGGTTGGACAATCTGTGTTAAAGCTAGATTTTTTTTGAGTGAAAAGTCTTAATCTAAACCAGATTTTGAAATAAGTATAGTTCAGTAGGGATTTACAGTGCATATCCTAATTCTTCTGCTGTATGAATTCGTCAAGGCAGAACAAAGAAATCTTTTATTGCAAATTTATTGTTGGACAGAAGCAAAAGCCTTCAGTTTACAGTTGGTTTTATGTACTTTTATCTTAAAGCATTTACTGATAATGACACAAATCTTTCTACAAGTATCAAGGAAGGAAAGGAATCTAGAAGCTTCTGCGATGCAGCGTATCGAGCTACTCTTGAAACAGTCATTAAACTACTAAATTTATGTCAAATGTCAAAATTGTTAAAAATTAGCTTGCTTATGCTACTGCATCAGAATTCAACAAAGGAATAAATGCTAATATTATTTTAGTACTATTCTAGTACTAAAGTTTTTAGATGAGAATAAAAGGCAGAAAAAGTATCTGTTGTAGGTAGCAGAGTGCTCATTGAAGCAATTGCCTTAATGTTAAGATTTTCTTCCCATTTTAAATATGAGGGCACCTAAAACCTTTTAGGGATCAAATAATCTAAATGAAAACCATATACCTTAGATCAGGATAAAGTGAAAGAGAGCAAGTGTTCTAATTTCAGCTCTCCTTTTAGAAGAAACTATTTTAAAATTACTTGGGGATAATTGGATAAATCAAGGAATGATTGTGTCTATCTGCTATCCTACCTTGGTCTGTTACGTAATGAAGCAGTACAGAATACTCTCTCACTTCTTTTGGACTCTCAGTTTTGAGAATTAGTCCAAGACTTCTCAGCCACAAAATTGAGTTTCCTTGTTCAAACGGGAGAGTAACTCTACTTCCCTGTCACAGGCTGCGTTTCACAGAAGTGCTGTGGCTGCACGGACGAGAGGGACCGTTTTGCTTCCCTTAGCAATCTACCATTGTTAACAGATACCTTTTTTCCCCAGCACCTTTGAAAAAAAAAGCTGACTGACAAAGCTGACCTTGCTGTTCCCCTTCAGTAACTTTTGAACTCGTCAGCCGCATTCAGCTACTTCAATACATGTGTAAAGAGTTTTGGAGATGCCAAGTTCTTAAAGAGTTTTGTAAAATCAGTACCTGGGAAAAGTCCATATTAGTGCCTTTACTTAGAGAGGACTTGTGGTTCATGCTGCAGCCTGCCTTTCTTGTCTACCTTGCAAACTGGCTGGTCTGCAAGAGCTGGCCTGAGAACATGCTGCTTTCCTTGCACAGTTTGTCAGGGGTATAGTGGCAGAGGAAGATGGCTCATAGACAGAGTGGAGCCTGTTGCACCTGGATGCTCTGTGATGGGTATCCACATGAAACCAGGCTTCTTCAGTTCCACTGGTTATGAAATTATTTGCCTCAATGATGCTTTCTGATTACATAGTAACAAAAAAATCTCCTGGCCACTCAATGCCGGTTTTGATCCTTGTTTGAACGGAGATGAGCAAATCTCGTATCATTTATATTCACGCATTTATTATCATGCCATTAGCCATTCACATTTCTTTTCACTATTTGCAGGAGTTATGGTTACAAAGCATACATTCTTTCTTTGCAGTCTCTGAACATTTTTATTTGTTATTTTGTCACCTACGTGTCTTCTGCACCTTTAACAAGAGTCTTAAAAATAGTGAACTTACGGTCAAAGAACTTTAAGTAATGTCATGACAAAAAGACTAAGAATAATAAACAGGGAGGAAATAAGATGGTCAGGAATTGAGGAATCTGCTGATTTGTTCATATGGTAATTTACTACTTCTGCTAAAGACCTGTAATTCATAAAGAGCAATGGATATGACAGATCTTACTGGCTGGCATATTGTGACTAACATGGAAAAAGTGAGTTGAAGAAGAGTATTTAGAGGAAGCAAGTATAGTCAGTTAAATCCTGAAGGCAAGAGATCTTTGAAACTTAATAAATTGCATTTTATACTATATAAGAAAACTGACACATGTTATCATTTCAGGATGACTCCAAATGAAAAGGATTGATTTCCAGAGAGAGGCATTCTTAACGATCCTACTGTCAAATGATTTCAGACTTAAGTTAGCATGAACAGGCTGCCCAGGGAAGTGGTTGAGTCCCCATCCCTGGGGACGTGTAGATGTGGTGCTCAGGGACATGGTTTAGTGGTGGACTTGGCATTGTTAGGCTAACGGTTGGACTGGATGATCTTAAAGGCATTTTCCAACCTAAAGAAATCTGTGATTCCATGATTCTATGTGAATCGGCCATCTTTAGAAAACTGTTCTTTCTCAGCAAAACAAATGTGAAGTGAAAGGAAGCATATAGAGCTATTTATCAGCTTAAACTGTACTTCTTTTTAACATGTTATATAGAAAAGAGACAAATTATATTGTTGGCTTTCTTCCAGGTAGCAATTACAGTGAAAAATGTGATGTTTTCAGTTGGGGTATTATTCTCTGGGAGGTAATCACCCGTAGGAAACCTTTTGATGAGATTGGTGGTCCAGCTTTCCGCATAATGTGGGCAGTTCACAATGGTGAGTTGAAAACACTTTATTGCATTTGAAGTTGTGTATTTGACCTATAAATTTGCTAAACACTCTTAACTGTGCAGCTTTAAGTTACTAGTTTTTCCATTTTCTACTTCATTAAATATGCATTTTTGTCATAAAGACTTAATAGACACTGCCACTTTTGTATCAGTGTGGGTTTTGTGTTATTTGACTTGCTACAGTGCTTGCATTTCTGCTACGTATAACTAGTGTATGAACAAACAAGGGAAAACAGCCATGTTCTTTTTGTTATGTCACTCCATTTTAAAAGTGATCTGAATCATGTGCTGCAAAAAAACCCCACAGCCCCTCTGTCTGAATGAATGATGATTTTATTAGCCAAGCTGGCTTTTTTTTTTTTTTTTTTTAATTGGGCATCTACAGTAAGTGTGTCAGTGTAAGTGACTTGACCTGTATTTAGAAATGCTAGAAACTGTCAAACTTCTGCAGGACCATTAGACATTAAAAACACTACTTTGTTTTTCATCTGGGTTTTTTTGTTGTTGTTGTTCTGCTGTTTGAATTGTTTTACCTTCATATCTAGGTACCTGCAGTCATGGAGTAGGACACTACTGTGCTAGGGACTATACAGAACAGATTCTCAGGAGCTTAGAATATAAACAGGAGACAATGGTTGGAATCAAATGGACAAAAGAAGGCAGTGGTACAGCACTGGTCAGAATTAATAGACTGTAGTATCTTCATGCTAGTGGTGTAACTTTTTTAACAGTGTGTTTTTAGGTACCATGGCAAAGCAGAGTTTTAAGAAGAATAAAGTAATGATAGTGAAGTAGTTCAATGAACGTCTGCAAAGAGTTTCTGCCATTTGTGAAAGACAACAGCAAAGAAAGCACAAACTTGTTTGGAAGATGTAATTATCAAACAAGCAATGAAGGCCGGTACTCTGCCTGAGCGTCATTGCTTCAGTACTAAATGATAGAAGCTTAAGGTGAGCACAGGCATCCTATCTGATGAAGAAGAGAAAGGGGCAGACAGTGGTAGGATGGGTGAGCATTATAGTCATAATAATGCACAAAGATAGATGTTTGCAAATGGCATTTTTGAATGAAGAAAGCGATTCTCCATTTCAGTTTTTCAAGGACATGAGTCATTGAGATTAGGAGTGATGAGTGCCTTGCATAAAAGCATTAACTGTAAAAGTAAGTGTAAATGTAATAGTCATAAATCAGAAAGCCTCGGTAAGGTGTGGGAGTATCCTTCAGGGGAAGACAAATTCCCTACCTGTCCCTGCTTTTGTTTTAAAAACTTCTCTCTCTTTTATTTCTTTTTCTCTTTTTTCCTTTTTTTTTTTTTGTTTTTCCTTCCCCCTTTTTATCCTTCTTGGGAAGGAGGTTCAGGATTTTTTTCTTCTTAGGAAGGAAGTGTTCATGCACTTCATCTCACTTGAAACCATTGTGGCACTCTCACTTCGTGTATTACTTGTTATGGTTAATACATTTTAAATACTTGCTGCTTTCTATGCGAAATGTTGCTACATCTCACCTACTAAACACAACTGGATGTCCGTTAATTGTACTCATTGTTGAAACAGTAAAAAGAGTAGAAACTTGAACCAAAAAGCAGCTGAATAGTTACACAACAGTTGAAGTAAAATACGTAATGAAAAATGTGTATAGGCGATGAAAAAGTCACCTGAAATTGGTAATTCCAATGCTTAATAATTATTCAAGAAGTTCTTAAGAGCAAAATCAGCCCTCAAAAACACACTTTTTTTTTTTTTTTTTTTTTTTTTTTTCTTTTGTGAGTCCAGCATTAGGAACCAAAGACTGTTACTACTTGCTTCTTAGTTTGGTCTAGAGCTTTATTTGTCAGATATTGGTAACATATTCATTAGCCATTGTAATATGTCATATTTGTTCAGTCAGTGGATTTATTCAAACCGCTGCTGTAGGAAAAGTTTAATTTTCTTTCTACTTGTGTGTGTGTAATTGTAACTTGTATGTAGTGCAAAAGAACTTTTGTCAGGTTTTTTTGTTTGTAAGAGAGAAAATTAAGTACAGGCCAGTTCTTTCAGACTACAATTAACTATATGTTTTCCTGTATTTATTTACCAAAATACTGGAGAGAGATCAGTCACTGTCAGCTGTCTTATAGTCTGTTTAACAAATTAAGGGTTTTTTTCTAATTTCTATTATAGGTACTCGGCCACCACTGATCAAAAACTTACCTAAACCAATTGAGAGTTTAATGACCCGTTGTTGGTCCAAGGATCCCTCACAAAGACCATCCATGGAGGAAATTGTTAAAATAATGACACACTTGATGCGGGTATAAAAATTTATTTTAGTGTCTTAATCATTTCTTAACCTATTAGGTTGAGAAATTGAATTATTAAAGGTATGCCTTTTATCACATTCTAAATGCAGGCTTACCCGTTTTCTCTCTCCTCTGTTTTTGAGAAAAATTAACAAATTATTACAGTAGAGAAGGGAAATAATTCCTCTCCTTATGGGAGAGGTATACTAACTCATAACGGATTTGGGGCAATTAATAAAAATAGTCACAGATTTATTTTAAAGTGTTACTAAAAATAATTGCATTTCTTTCTCTTCTAAATAAATTATTATAAACGTAATATATATTTAGAAACTATCATGATGTACTGTTTAAATAATTTTAAAACAATTGTTAATTACTTTTTTTATCAAATCATTGCTGTTTTTTCACAGTACTTTCCAGGAGCTGATGAACCTCTGCAGTATCCGTGCCAGTATTCAGATGAAGGCCAAAGCAACTCTGCCACAAGTACAGGTATGCTTGTATAAATAAGAGAAAAGAACAGCAATAGTTCTGCAAATGGATTGTAAAACACACTCTCATATTGACTTTGAACTCAAATTGGGAAAGGTGACTTTTCAAAAATCTTAAGCATTGGCAGGAATCTTACGGTTTTTTGTTAAAACCTCATACCACATCATATTTAGCATTCTCAGCCAAATGGTTTTGCTAAAGTGTACCTTTCAAGGAGAACAAGCATATAATAAAAGCTGTCTCCGAATGTCCAGGTTTAAGGTCTCCTCCTTTCTTCCCCATGAAGGTTGCTAGCAACTGATACTCTTTCATTCATATGTAATGTTTAGGAGTTGGCATTTTTAAATTTTTTTACTATTCTTGAAAGTTGCACCTGCTGTCCGTTATGATCACTGCAATTTAAACTTGCAGTTGTTTTATATTAAGATGCAATAAATACAGTAATTTAAATAGTGCAAGGAAATCACTAGAAAGGTGAATGGAACAAAAAGTGGGCTTGGCTTTCAGGTAGTCTTGCCCTCAGAGAAATCCTTTTAATAATAGAAAATAAAGATCAGTTGGTCTTCTCATATTTTAGAGTACAGTTTTCCCACTTCAGTTGTTTTTAATCTTAAGTGTCTTCACCTTCCCCTGCTTGGTTGGTTGGTTTGCTATCTCCAAACAAACTGCTGTTATTTTGGATTAAGTTTCCTTAGCTACTTTGCAATTTGGTGACCTGTATATTACAACATCTTTTCAGCTGTAGCATTGTACTGACTTTACTAGCTGTTCTCCACCACTCAGCACATGATTTTAAGATATGATGTATCACTTTAAACTGTGAATATATATTGTCTGTTATTTTTCAGGTATTTGTGCTCCTCTGTGGTTAATGATGGACTTCGTCATTAATTGTGAATGAGGTTGCTGGTTGTGTTGTTAATACATCTACCCCAACAATTTCAGAGCAAGCTAAAGATTGACTTCAGAATGTGATCATAGCACTTAGTCGTTTATTCTGTCTTATTCTCTCTTCCTTTTACTTTTTACATTAATGGATCTGTTGCAATCTTGCAGCTTGCCTTTCATTAAAAGTTTTCAAAAGCGTTGCTTTAAAGCAAAGTTAGTTAAAGCAAAACGCTCAGGTGAAGGGATGCACTGTAGTATTTTTAATGGAAATTCTCAAGTTTCTCCTTGTTGATGATTTCTAGGTTCATTCATGGACATCACTTCTACAAATACAAGTAACAAGAGTGATGCTAACGTGGAACCAAGTGACTTACAAGGAGCTTCTACCAATGACACTATTAAACGTTTAGAGTCAAAATTGGCACAGCAAATGAAAAATACAGCCAAGCAGCCGGTAAGCCAACGTGTGCAATTTTCAACCATAATAATGAAGTGGACAAAGATGGGCAAAAGCATTGTGACTGCTACGAAATGTTAGCACCTTCTTCCAAAAATAGTACAAAATTGGAGCCAATTAGTTATAGTAAAAGAAGATGAAAGGGGATGGGAAAATACTGAATGATTCCTAAAAGGTAAACTGGAAGGCTCTAATAAGATCTCCAATGAAATAAAAAAATAGTTCATTTTATTTAAAGGGATTCATTAGGTTAAAAAAATATTATATTTGAAAGTTGCTGCCTTAATTTAGAACCAAAATATTAGTATGACATAAAAGGATTAAACGTTTGTGTGAATTTTTAAAATACTATGTTTTTTTTCAAGTAGGATGAAAAAATACAAAGATTCTCTTGTGACAGTATTGGCCTAATTCTACTTAATTTTTATCTGCTTGAAGTTAGGTTGTTTTGAAAGTTGCAGATATTTGATTCTTGCATGCTACTAGTAGCCAAATTATTACCACTTCTTAAATTACAAATTTTAAATCTTGTCACTTCTAAAATGCACATTATAGAAGTCTATTTTAAGCTACATACTGTGCGTATCATGGAGGGGCTTCTGCAGAATGTTTTTTCTTTTTAAAAATGCAACTGTTGAAACAGGGTGATCCTGGTCGTTTGAGTTTACCCCCATCTCGTGGGAGCAGTGTGGAGAGCTTGTCAGATGTTCGCGCGCGACCACAGTCAGCCCTTGTTTCAGGAGAAGCCAAAAGGATGAGTGCTGACATGTCTGAAACAGAAGCAAGAATAGCTTCCATCACAGGTAAAATTAAAGGATGTCTTGGGGGATAGACTAAGGAATTGGAAGGAAGGAAAGGAGGAAGGAAGATGTAAAACATGCAGTCTTACAGAAGGTTAATACCATTAACCATATGAAAATACTTTAACTTTTCATGTAGTTTTCATTGTCTTTTATTAATTGTGGGGGGAAACGGCTTCATTCATGGTTGTACGCTCAACAAAGTTGAGTATTTTAATTGGGTACTTCTAAGGTTGCAGAAGAAATCACTTTTGTTGAATTAGACTTTGACCTTTTTAAAAAATCATTCTGATACTTCTAAATATCAGTCCTATTCCAAATGCACTTTGTCCTTTGCATCTGAAATAATGTTGTTCTGCGTCTGCTAGCATAATTATTTCTAAATATTTTGAAATTAAGAGGCAGCTTTAAAGTTCAGCATGTTCCCAAATAAGTTTTAAAATAAGCTTTGACAGATTTCAGAAAGAGAGAGTTAGCTGTTATTAATCAGATTAACAAAGCATTGGTATATTTTGTTTAAAAAAAAAAAAAAAAATGCTGCTGGTGTTTTGCCAGGTTTGCTTCAGGTAGCTATAAACTGTTGTGTCTAAACATTGAATCCTTGAGTGAATTGGAACTTATGTGTAAGTATAAATACATAATTTTATGGTGAAAGCAATCTTTATTCTTCCCAGAAGAGTGAATTAATAAAAATGTGTATACTTGGCAAACACTTCTTGTCTCTTTCCTTCCTCGAATATATTGTTTGTTAATCTATGCAAACTCCAGGTTTTAAGTTTCATATGTGAAACTTTTTTGTCATGGTATATAATCACAGATTTAAATAATCAGACAAAATTACTTTGGTTAGTCCAGGGTTATTTAGCTGTTCTAATATTTTTTTACCAATCTGAAAATTAAGATAATCAAGTAGCTGTAATTAATAGGGAAATATGCATCATATTCTGGCTTTCTTGTGCACCATGACTGTTTCATTTTTGTTCTTCATTGTATTATGATTACTCCAGGATCTTGTTTTACTAAATACTGAAGTTACTCATGAAATAATATTTATCTTCCCCTGAACACTTTTTATTTTATGTTCTTATTTTAAAGCCTTATTCCAATATTTGTCTTTTGTATTGTCAGTCTTCAACTGGATGATTGTGTAGCACCTCTCACCCTGAATATCTCTAAAGGTTTCCTAACACAGAAGGCAGATGTGTACTTACCTGATAATAACAACATGCTGGTTTTATTTTAAAGTATGTCAGGACTCACTTTGGTCACTGACACTCTAAAGTTGATGTAAGTTTTTGACATTAGTAGAGATAACCCGGCCCTCCTTTGTGTGAGTTTATAATTTTCCTGGTTTGTCTTCCTTAAGTACATTGCTTTGAATAGTAACTATTATTTCAGAATATTCTAAGATTTATTTTTTTTTAATGACTGTAGGTTTTCTTTTTCTTGAAACAAAAGTATATTAAGAAATCAGGCAGTAGTGGACTACTAGAAATGAGGTCAAACCTATCAGATCATAACTTTTTCAAAAAGAGCTGAAACAGCACTGTATTGGTTTTGCTTTGGTTTTCAATCTTGTTAACTGTGTGACAGAAATAATATGCTGTGAACCTAAAAAAACATGTGGCTGGGTGAGAATTGGGCTGTTAAGAGTAAATCAGGTCAAGAATTATTTAATTTTCTTTTTCCATCTATTGCTAGATTAACTGTAAGAGTAAATCACATAATGCACGTCACCATTACTTGTTAAGTTTGAGATGGATATGCTGCAGTGTTCTACCTTTGGGAGATGTATTCAGACTTTTCTCTAAATGGGAACTATTTATCTTAAACTACACAAGTAGTAAAATAAAAGATGTACAATTAGATTTTATTCCAAAGTATATAATGTTCCTTGAACATCATTCAAAAATGAAAAGGTTGGTAGTGATACCCAGTTTGCAAAACAAAACATCTTCACTAATAGGACAAAATAATGGAAGGCAGGAATGATTGTCAAGTGTGATAAGAGTAAGCATTTTTTTCAAAGACAGATGATGAGATATCCTTTAAAAGGAGGTGATTTAAAGAAACAGAAGTACCCAACTATTAATCTTGTTTACAAAACAGTTTGTACCCAACACTAAAGAGAAAATGTTACATCAGTTCAGGCAGTCAAGAATTTATTCTGAATATACGGGTGATCTGAAGTAATGTCATTTTTTCTTTGTTTGGATAATTACATTTGGTTTTCCCTTCCTTGTTGCCATGCTGCTTTCTGTGTTTGACTTTTGTGTTGCTAACTATAACTAATTACACAGTGTTGTAATGACGGCTAGTTCTGCATTTTTTGCTTTTTAACAGTTGCTTTACTATGCGTAAGCATGAGTGGAAGGCAATGCAGTTTATTCTGCATGACACATTTTTGCATGAACTATAGTTTAACCAAGTTTATGAAAAATGCAATATTAGGAATTTAATAATTTTGCTATTGCCATTTTAGTGTTTTGCATGTGTATTGTATATGTGTATTTTTTCAGCCTATTCCAAGCCTAAACGAGGCCATCGTAAAACTGCTTCATTTGGCAACATTCTGGATGTCCCTGAGATCATCATACCAGGTATCGCAGACCAGGTGAACGGGTCAATTGGTTAAGATGCCGGAATAATGATCAGACTGCTAAAAATACTTCTTGCTCCAGTTGCTCTAGGACAGAACTAGAAATTATCCCAATCATTTTTTCATAATGTCTCTGTAAAGAGCAGTATGATATTTTAGTACAAACTTACTTTTATCAGTAAAGGATTTGATCTTCTAGTTCAAATTTACTTTTATTGATAAAGGATTTTTTTTCCTTTATGATCTTTAACATAAAAGAGTCTTCTGATAGAGCAAAACTATATATGCAGTTTTTCATTACAGTACCTCATTTGGTGAAAGTAGACTTAAGTTGAAAAATTCCTGTCTAAAGATCTTGCCCTGATCTTTGTTGTGTTTGAGCACCCATTTTTAATCTAATCAAATATTAGTAGAACAAAAAACTTAAATATATTACATACAGAACTTCAAATCCACATGATACTTGCGATTTTAAAAAATTGACATTTAATCTATGTAATTCTTACATTTGACTACACTTTTCTAGAGCTAAAATGTGTTTGCATGAGGCATTTCTGTTATGTTTAAGTTAATGCAAACTGGAATTAAGAGAGGCTTCTGACAGGAAGAAAATCAGTATAATCAGGCACCATAGCTGGTAATTTCAGTTGGGAACTTTAATGAATAGTTCTCATCAATCCCAAGTCTATATTTAGTTAGCAGCATATTGTTTTCCTTTCCCATTCCTTTTTTTGCAATCAAAGTGGATTTCTTTCTTTCATTTCGTACTTCTGAAAGCCTAAAAATAAGTATAATCAATCCCAAACTGTGATAGGTATACCATTAGCAGCATGCAAGTCACTTCAGAATTATTTGTCAGAGGCAGGAGATGCAAGTAATAGTATCTGCTACTAATCTAGACATCTAGATCATCTGAGGAAGCTTCCTCGTAAATCTTAACACTATTTGGTATTTTAAAGTCAAATGCAAAAGATAATTTTGTACAAAAGTTTCTTTCAAATAACTTTATTGAAGTTACGTATAAATACACAGAATGTCAAAAAGCAGATTCCAAAGAACAATAGCACTACCCATGAAAAGAAAACCTATTTGGCATTGAGGCTAACAAATCAGCAAGAAAGTTTACTAGTGTGGCTTTCGACTGTAATTTTCAAACGGCCCTGGCCTCGCTGAGAGCGCAAGTAAAGAGAAAGTGAAGGGATCTGTCAAGTTTTGCAGTGGCAACATGTGATGAGAGCCTGGTAAATAGGCTCTAGAAGCAAAACCGAGTGCCTCTTGTCTGTGCACACCCTCTGCATGTGACAGCACTGAAGCTTCCGAGAAACCTTTGGACTTTTAGAGAATAATTAAAAAGTCAGTGAAATAAAATGCCATGTCTTTTTCACAAAATAGATGGTACCGGTCTATTTGCTTTCCTTATTTGGGCTGAGGAAGTCAATCGGATGTTCTTCACCTGGACCATTTTAATTGAAGTTGACAGGATCGGAATTCCAAAGTGAATTTGGAATAGATACAAGAGAAATAGCAATCTGTAGAAGTGAAAGGAGGTATTGAGATTGGAGCAGGTGTGAGAGATTGGAGCAAGCATATTAATGACTTTTTTCAAAATTTACTCTTAAGGCATGTAAGTCTTAAATAAGTGATAATGAAATTAGCTGTTAACACTTTATCAGAAGTGACTATTCATGAAGAGGAGGATTTAAGTATCACATAGGGTGAATTTTGTTGTGACTGGGGGGGGGGAACAGAAATAGGGTAAAATCCAGTGTCATGCCCTGTGCATCATACACTAGCAACAAATTCTTTTAATAAGATGACATTAGACCACAGCAGATAGATGCAGATTAATCCCACATAGTATAAGCTACTAATGTAATGCACTTGTGAAAACCTGTGAAATCTTAGGCTTCATTTCCAGGAAAGAAAAGGAAGCACCAACACTATTTACAGGCCCTTGCTGAGGTTTAATCAGGATTTCAACATTATGTTCTGGGCAACCATACAATAAAAACATGTGCATGCTCTGAAATAATAGCAAGAAGAGCTACTAGGATGGTATGGAGAGTATAAAGAATAATCTGAAAGCGTGGCTTTTTAACCCACAAAATTAAAGCTGAGAAATTAATATTTTCTATAGATGAATCTGCAGCTAAATACTAGGAAGAGAGAAGTACTTAAGCTTAAGACCGTATTGGCACTGCAGAAAAAAGATGTAAATTGTCTGCAAATAAGTCTGGGGTGTATATTAAAAGTTTTCTGGCTGTCAGAACAGCTTTCCTCTGTAGGAATTCCAAGGCTGGAAAAAAAAAAAAGAGATTAATAGTTACATGACAGGGATGTAATCATCTGCCCAGTAAACTAATTATATTTATCTGTATACTTAAAGCAGTTATTCAAAAGTACCTCGCTCAGTTATTCTTTCAAAAACAATGTAACGTGGCCTGTTTCTCACCTCGTTCCTTTCCTTACCCTCCCAGCGCAAGGCTTTCAGTCCTGGCCTCTTAACACATTTTTCCCTTTCTAGTTATACTTCCAAGACCCCCAAACTGACACTTCCGTTTCAATCCCACCCCATCGCATTCCTTAGCGCTTCTGCCACATACCCAGCTCCTCCGAACTTCCCTGGGCACATCCGTCAGTGGGGCGAGCAGCCCGTCCCCGGCCGCGGGGCAGCAGGAGTGCTGACCCAGTCTGTGCTGCTGCCTGAAGTTCTGCTGAGCACATGGTAAAGCAGCTGCTTCCCGGCGAGGGGAGGCACCACGCAGGCACGTTACCATGAGTCAGCTGCTTTGGGGCAGGGCTATTTTAGAAAGATGAGTACTACATCTGCTATCATTGGGGGTTTTCGTAATGTGTTGCCTCAGCTGCTTTTCATCCCTGAACCGATTACGCTACCGAGGTCATAAAATACCAATTTTTATCAGCTGAAGGTAAAATGTTGGCAGAAGTAGAAGTATTTAATATGCATTTGCTCTTCTTTCTAAATAGATTTAAATAAGGGTGACGAGAACTTGCTTTCATTTAAGATGCTAGTTTGTGCTACTGGCTTACAAAACTTAGAAACTGAAAAATGGATCTGCTAATTCCTTTCTTGTGTAACAACTTGGCAAATGAGTTTTCAGTGATGGTATCCTGCAACCAGATAGCCAAGTGAAGTATCAATTTTTTTTTTTTTCAATTTTTAATATATATAATATATATAGATATATAGTATAGATAATAAGGACTAACATTTTATTTTTATATATATGAAAAACAAAAAACCTTGTAAGTACAAAAGGCTTAAGTAGCTATATGTTTAAAAAAACAAAAAAAAAATCTAAGTATAGTTTGTAACATGATCGAGAAACGTAATCGAAACACCTTTTCGATACAAGCCAGTCAAGCAGCATGTAGCAAATATACCTTCAAGTACAGCCTTTTCTTCACTGGCAACGTTAGGCATCTCATGCATATAGCGTGCATGCATTTGGCTTTGTAATTTTGTCATCTGAAACTGTGCCACAGCGTTAAGATTTTTGTAGCATTGACACTGCATAAATGATTGCTCAGGACAGACGCAGTTTGTTGAGTGGCTTTAGAAAGTGGATAGGAATTACAGATGCGATAGGTCTGTAATTTTTCCATCTACTTTTAAAACCAATACAAGCCACAAATCCCACCTTTGTCTCCCCAGAATTTCTTCTGGAATTCAGATCAGTGTTTTAACTTCTTTATAATGTCTTCTAGCACTGTGACATTCACTCATCATCCTGCACTGAGAGAGAGGTTTGGGTCTTGTAGGCGTGTAAGGAAGAGAGAGTACTGTGCACAAATAAGAAAGTGTAAAAGGAGATGCAAGTGTCTGCTAAAGGGCAGGCAGAACAGTTCATAGCTGGCCTGGAGATTGAGCAGGGGGTAGGGTGTGATCAAAAGCCTTAAGAAGTTGTAGAAATTGTTTTTGCTGGAAGCACATGATGGAAGTTTCCTGTTGCTTTTGAATTTCATTTTAGAAAATAAACAACAGTATGTGAAATGAGGTGTTTTTCTGAGGCCAGGAAGCATGTTTGCAGTGTTTGATTTTTAATCTTAAAATCCTGTAAACCCCTGAAATCCTGACATAGTGCATCAAGCTACTAGATATTAACTTCTGTGCATTTACAAATCTCTCTTATAGTGAGAAAAAATTAGTTTTACATGGATGTCGAGGTAAGAACAAGATCAAAAGTAAGAGGAAAGCATAGAGAAGTACCAACAATCATTTCAAATAAAGATTATATGTTATATAGTCTAATTTTCAATGGAAATGTTTCTTGAATCTGGAGCAATAAGTATTTGTTGATTTGTAGTCTGTTTCTGCTTTGTCTAAGCTATTTGCCAGATGTCTGCAGTAGTTACACTAATTAAAATGGCATTGCCTAGTAGAGCTTGCTCTTCCCTCATGCTACTAACCTGAAGATATTTCATTTAAAGGTGTTCATTTATTACAACACAGTAGTTTTGGCCCCTCTTTCTTCCCCCCAAGGCATTTTCTTTTCTTTCCTGCACCCCACCCTGATTATTTTAACATTTTGGCAGCCGTGTTCTAATATTTCAGCAACACATGTGCCGGGTTCTTTAAATTCACAAACGTTGCTAATCTGAAATGAGAATTTCAGATATTTTTGCAAGACTATTTCAGCTGAGCTAATTTTGTAACAGTGTTGTTGAATGAAACGTGCACATAATTTTGTATCAGTCGTGGGTGGATCGCCCATATCTTGAATATTGAGATGAGCTGTGGCAGCCAGATGAAGTATCCGCAGCAGCATAGAATTCTACTAAATGTATAATCTTCTCTGTTAAATGATTAGGTAGTGAAAAACTTCTTTGCTAATGAGCAACTTCAGAAATTTTGACGTAGATTTGTCATTCACACGACCTCTAATATCGAAGTATTAAACATAATATAGCCGTTGTTGCTTAGGTAAGTATATACTTTCCCTGAATTTCAGAAGCAAAAGATCAAGACCATATAAAAGTTGCGATTCAAATTCATTTGTAGTCAGAGCAAAGAATATATTCCCATTCTAGAATCCTCCTTGGTTTTCTTATACACTTGTTTCTCACAGTACTTTCTATAAATGTAGGACTATAAAATGTCATGACAAATTGGTCAAGTGACAGTGAGGATTTTGTATTGCTGCTTTGTGGTAACGTGTTCCTACCTGTGATAGTACCTATATTTAAAAATTTAAAGTGACACCATTAAATGCATTGATTAATATTAAATAGCCTTACATTTTTGTAGTAACTGTTGCAAATCAAACCACCTGTCAAGACAGGCTGTGGAGTCGTACAGCAACGATGCCAAATAAGAAGTATCTAAAAGGTTAAAAATGTGGTACCTGTTGTGGGGCTGTGAGTGAGCTGGGCTGGCTGCCACGTGCGGGGTCGCTGGGCGAGGGGCTGCCAGGCTGCGGGCTGTCTTTCAGACGCTCCCCTCCAGTAGAAAAGTTGCGTAATGCAGAGCTAAGAGCAAGAATTTTGAGCATTGTCAGCTGTTACTCAGGGCGTTTTGGTGTTTCCTTTTGGACAGCTGACCTGCTCTCAAGAGACAATATAAACAGTCGCCGTAATAAAAATCAAAGTAGCCAGGGAGATTCCGTTGCATAATCTCCTTTTATTTTTAAGGAGACTGTTTCCTGGAAATGCCTTTGATTGCGTGTCAGTGTTAAAATTTTAAACCTTTTTATGTAGCTGTCACTGGTGGATAATTGCTAACAGGTGGAAGGAGAAGAGGAAAAGATTACAGCATTGTGCTTAGTAGGTTGATGGCGAGATGCGATTTAGCTGAACAGTCCCCTTTTCACACTTCTCGGAGCATGAGAATAGGACATAGTTCCGTTCATCCGACGGATACAAAGACCAGAAGGAAGCGCTTTCACTTCTTAATCTTCGTGAGGGGCGCGGCACGCGCAGGCAGAAGTCCTTGCTGTGATCCTTGAGCACGCCGAAGAGCAACAGGTTAAAGCTGTCAGCCTGTTATCTTCGCGGTCTAGCTTTTAGAAATCCCCATAACGTAACGTACTTGAAATAGATGTCGTCATCAGCTCCTGCCCCGAGTACTAAGCCTGACCAAATACATGTGACAGAAGATGGTGGAGTAGAGTGCAGCAGCTATTCATGTGGTAGGAGTGGTTATTGTATTAGGGTATACTTTTTGTTGACGGGCCAGCATGTTTTGAGTTAAAATTCTGCAGCTGTCTCTTCCCCCCCACACACACACACACACTTTCTCTCTGTGGATTTGTACAAATTCCAAGCTCCTCTGCAACAGTCGCACCCTTCTTATTTTGTTCTGAACAGATTTCACTGGTTTGTTTTTGTTTTGTTTTTTTCCCAGCAGGAAACGGGCAGCAGAGGCGCAGATCCATTCAAGATCTTAGTGTTGCTGGAACAGAGTCCAGTCAGGTAATGCCTTTCTCGTCTCTTCTTTACCTTTCAGTACAGACAACACAGAATCTGTACAGGGAAACTCGTCTGGAAATCTTCACCTTTGATGCTTTCGTAGAAGTGATGTAGAAGTTTGGCAGACTGTAGTGTCGTTTGTATTGCATTTAAATGAGAATCCATGCGGGTGATCTGTGAATGAGCTCTAGATGAGAAGTGTTTTCTGTATAGCTCATGCAGCATTTATCATTTTTATGTACACATAGGTTTTGTGTACCACTTAATTTGGCTGAGGGCAGATGTTATGTAGACTTTTCACCTCTATATATAGAAAATAATTGTAATTACTACTTCTGATTGTCTGAAGCAGTTATACATACATTTTTTGCATAAAAATAAAAGGCATGTGCATCAGTATTATAAATGTATTTATTATCAGTCTCTGGACCCTGAATGGGAACTTACAGTAGTAGTATCTCCATTTCTTGTGAAAGGTTTACAGGAGGGTGCTGTCACGAAGTTTTGTTTAAAAAAAGACTATGTTGATAAGATATTTTATAAAAGCATAGCTTCTTATCTGCTATCATAAGTGCCATGGTAACAGACACAGTGGTATGCTACATAAAATTGAAATCAAACTAAACCCAAATTAAACTAAGAACATGTTAAATGAGAAAAGTACATCTAATGCTTCATTCCCATGTGTTTATTCTGTGTTTTTAATTGCTTCATTGTCTGTTTCAGTAATTCACAGAGGCTATTTGGCCATTAGTGTGAATTGGCAATTTTGTAGATCCCTGCTATTATTTGGATGTGGGAAACTGGAGCTTAGCATATTCATCAGGTTATTCAGGTTTCCATATTAAACAACCTACTGCAGTAATCTAAAATAGGTGGTAATTTTGGGGGTGTGTGGCTATCAGGGAGATCAACATTTGATCCTTTAATTCTGTGGAGTGTGATAGCTGCAGAAACCTCATAAATCCCCCAGGTGTTAAGAGTAGAATTTACTATGTACATCTATCAGAAAATAACAAATGAGTCTTAAATACATTTTAATATCTTCAGAGAAGACAGGTTTGTTAGAAAGAAATGAATCTGCAAAATTAGTAAAGAAATAGATTAACCTATTCAGTTAATTGTAGAACTAAATTTATGCAAGACTTGAGAAGAAAAATTGTGACAGTACATCAGTTATACCAAATTGCACTGATTGATGTATGAATATATTTAATTGTAACATCTTCATTTAAAATTTTCATTCTGTTCATTTTAATGAATGGTTAATATTTAAAAATACAGGATTTCATCATTTACTTCATATCTTAATAACTACTATAATAATCTTTCTTTGATAGCTGTTCTACTGCTTGTATGGATGTTCTTGCTAAATTGTCCTTGTGACCAGGAGGATACAGAAAAGTTTTTGTTGACCTCACCAATTTCTAATGAGGGACCACAGAAGTACCAGAATCACATTTTACTTTCTTGCTTCTGGTAGTGTACATACTGGAAATCTAAGTGACTCCTGCTTTCATCTTGCGGTTTTTGGAAACATTATGATAAAATCTGGAAAACATAGTATTTTAACAGGCATGAATAATGCACTTTGGAAGAAATTTTTGCACTGTCCATATAAATGAATAATTAATTTTCATCCCTTGTTTGATGTGAGAGGAGATAGCATTAGTTTCAGCAGACTTTTCTAACTCTTGACATACATATCTTTATATATTTTTAAAAAAAGAAATCAGAAAACAGCGAAGAAAGTAAGCACAATTTAATTATGGCAAAAGACCTAAGATTACTCTTTATGGGTTTCTGTAGCTCTGGACCTCACTGCCTTGAATTTTTATTAAAAATCTTGAATGGCTATCCATATAAGCAATCTACTAGCCAAAGCAGAAAAATTATCTGTGACTAGCGTAGCTCTGGTCAGTTTATCATACTTCCCCATATGCACCATACCATATATAGGTTATCCTTTCTAATGTGAAAATCCCCTTCCCCCTCCCTCCCTTCATTGCAAACATCCTTCTTCCTCGCATTCCATTCCCCTTTACGCCCACCCTGCTGCGCAGCCTTCCTCACCGAGCCACCATGGCACTGCGTGCCTCTGCTCCCGCACCCAGCCCTTGTAAGCCCCTGTCCCACTCAAAATTGAAGGATTCCCACAGTGCAGCTTTTCTTTTTGTTTTTAACTGTTTGACTGACACACTAAAGCTGATCACAAATATTTTTATTAAACATGTTCTTCCTGAAAATTGCCACTGTGTCAATAGAAAATGATTCTGTCATCATGATTTTTTTAATCAGGAAGGTTTTTCCAATTCAGAATGGAATTTTTGTTAAGGTGGAGGAAAACACTGGACTTGATAATAATAAATATACCAAAGTTTGGGGTGCTTACCTGAAAGGTAAGACTCTTGTCTCCCTGCTTTTGACTGCTGGTCTGTTTTAATCTGACCTTCTTGTATGTTTTATGATTGTATGTGTATTTCATTTCTGTGTACTGTTAGAAGAATTTTTTGTGGTTTGTATGGCTGTTGATTACTATTTTTATGTTGTTGAGGCATTTAAGGCATTTTCCAGTATTACTCTTAATGATGTTATCAACAGCGCACAGTAATAGTACTTTGCAGATGATCTTACTACTCAACTGACCCTTTTACATTAACAGTTTAGGTGGGAAAATATGCTAAGCCAAAGGTTTTCCATCATTGGAGCAGCTGTTGGAGTGGTTCGGTGTTGAGAACGTGTTTTAGTCTGATTTTTCACAGATTTCTCTAGTGTTTGGTGACCTTAGACTGGACCTTACTCCAAGTGGCATGAGCAGCACTGATGCAACCCTGTCTGTACAGTCAAATGCTACATTTCGATTTGTTTCCATCCATATACTGTGATGCTCTATTGATTTTTCCACATACTTTTTTTTTTTTTACTGAATTTTTTCTTCTGCCTTGCCATTTTTTTGTACACATGCATTTTAAAACATGGTATTATGCCATCTGTCCAGCACTACCGGTCTTGCCTAAACACCTTTGTAACACGGAAACAAATGTGCAGGCTCTGAACTGCAGCCATAAAAACTTTCAGGGGCTTAAAGGAACGCAGCAAACCTACTATTTGCACTGGATAGGGTCTTTACAGAATTTGATATTTTATACATGTACTGAGAAACGTATTTGGCATAATCACTCAAGAACTGCAGGTTGTGATCAGATGCCTAGTAAGGTACCCTTGTCCTTTCCTGTGTATCTTCTGTTGGGTTGGTTGTTTTGGTACGTCATCTTTCGCATAATACCAAAACCACCTCTTCTAAACCTGGTTTTTTGGTTGTTGTTTTGGGTTGTTTGGTTTTTTTAGTAACTTGCTGGACCTTCATAACTCTTATAGTGGAAAAAAAATAATATATTAAAGAAAACCAAGTACTGTATTGAACAGTTGAGAAGCAAGGTCAGAACGTACATGCCCACATGCATGCAAGCTAAGTGTGATAATTTGAGGGACCTGGTATTACACAGATGAATCATTCTGTCCATGAGATTGTGAAATTAGTCACAGATACACTTTTTTTTTCCCTCCCCTTTCATAGCGAGATAAAATCCACACGAGGGGACAGGGCTAGTAACGTTCATTTCTTTAAATTGGGTTGCCCGTTTAATTTAAACTTTGGGAGGAGGGGACAGGGAGGATTATGCCTCAGAGCACGCCAGCTTTTCAAGACTGGAAGTCTTTTAGAAATGGAAGCTAAGAAGCTAACAATGCTATGTGGGTTTGGCCACCTGACAAAGATGATTTGAGAGGAACCTGGTAACACATCTGTTGAGCATACTGAGATACCTGGAGGAAGGAAGGGTGAAAGGATCCCTGTGAAGGGGTAGCAGAAACTGATTGCAAAAGAACAGACACTGGCTTACCTGTCAGAGGGGCTGGCGTCCAGGGGGCCTAAAGAATCTCATTGAACGTATGCCCAAATGATGCATCTAACAGGTTTTCAGTTTAGGGAACTTCCCTTGGACTTTGCAATGCTTTTTAGATATGCTTCAGATATGAATCCTTCATTTCTATCTCATCTCTAGTAATTTTGTCTAAATAATGTTATCAAGGAAATGTATGGGGTTTTCTCTTGATGTATCAAATCACTCTGGTACAGCAAGCAATCTAGTGCATCACTGAGAAGTTACTGTAACTGGAGTACTTCTCAAGTGCCCTTTGCTATCAACTGTAGATACCCAACTAATCCCTTTTTGCTTAAAGGACTTAATGCTGTTAAAAGTGCTTGCTCTGTCTTCTGACCTTTTGCATCAGCAGAGTGTGTTCATCACTCATATCTGAGGACACTGCCAGTAAGCAGTAAGCTTGGTAACTTAGACCTTGCTTAATGTCAACAAAGACTCCCAACAGAAAAGCTTTTGCCAAATGTCTGATGCCGTCATCCTGATAGTATCATCCATCAGATTATTTCTACACTAGTTTATTGCCCTGTTTCTGGCTACTAACATAAAGCACTAAATGTTTAATAAACATTACAGGAGAAATGTAATGCAGTTGAAATAATGGATAGTTCAGTGCATAGAATCTTGTTACTCTTTGGGTTGTTACTTGGCTGAAATCCTGGCTTTTAAAAATTAAATTAAGAAAGGATATTTGGAAAGTAGAGTCATAAAGAAACACAGTTTCCAGGTACCATATAATTGAGTGCTTCTTTTGAAGAATAGGGATGTTTAATTAATCATTTCATGATAAATGTACCGTATTGAAATTAGCTGTATTTTAATAGCATCTTTTCCTTTTACTTCATTTTTTTTCCTGCAAAACTCGCTGGGATTTATAGTCTTAAGTCCTTTACTGTGTTAATTTTATGTCAGTGAGGGGGTATATGAAATACATGAACACATATTGTAAAGAACAATTCTGATAAAGAAGCCCAATAGAATCATTAAGTCTGTGCTATGTTTTTGCGCTTTGGTAAACACAAGGATTGGAAGAGTCAAGCTTTTTATAAAGGAACTTCCTACAGAATTTTGTTTTTGTTCTTAATGTGCTTTGTGAGAGAGAATGTGCTCATTTTCTAATTGCTTTGCTTTCATTGATTGATTCTTTGGATTAAATACTTTTTTCATGTTCTCTGAAGTGAATCACACAACCTGTGAATGAATGTAAGAACTATAAAAAAGCTATAGATTAATACACTGCAGTCTAGTGCAGTTACTAAGCTGCATTCCTTTAGTTAAATGTAGTTCCATTCATTGATTAAACATTGGAAACAAACTTTATTTCTTCCTTATGTTGTGGAGCTGCTAGATTTCACTGAATGGCAGTGTGAAAATTACTAGACATAGCATCACCCTTTTATTTAAAGGTCTTGAACACAGTGTTCAGCACTGCTTTTTATTATGCTGAATAGCCAAATTATATCCATTTCTTTTTATATGATAAAAGATGAAGTAGAAATGGGGATGAAATTATCCCTGCAGTGCATGTAAAGGTTATTAAAGTATCTGGAGAGTTTTCAGGGTAAAAGCTTGGGGAGGAGGGTGTTTCGGAGGATTACAGATACAGGTTTCTTCATGTTTATTTTTCTTTTTAATAATGTTTTCTAAAATTAAATCTTCCAGAAAACCTTCTGTTAACTTTTCTTGTCATTTTATTTTGTTTTCTTTTATCATTTCAGGAGAGTAGGAACAGCAGTAGATCATCTAGTCCTAGTGTGAGAATGATCACTACCTCGGGACCAACCTCTGAAAAGCCAACTCGTAATCCATGGACACCAGATGATGCAGGTAATCCTTGGTTCATTTGTTAACTTTTTGCCTGTAAAAAATATAAAGCATTTATTTGATTATGGTGTGGGATGTGTGCCTAGACATTAACAAAATTAAGGAATGAAAATCACAGTCAATTTTAGTTCTGCTTAAATTAAATCATTACATTACTGCTTTGTTTTGCACATTGGCTTTAAGAACTTTTTTATATAGATTATGTTAAGTTACATAAACCTGTAAGCATTTCGCTTGTAAGAAAGTACTGTACATATGCAGTGATAGTAGTATTTAATGCAGATCTTCTAGCACCAGTTCTTGACTGGAGTGTGCTTTTGGGGAATTAGGGGACTAGACATCTTGGAGCATTGTAGTCTTGTGCATTTGTATTATGAATGCACAGTTAAAGCTTTCATAGCTCTGACTTCTGGAATGAAATACTATTTAGGTGAGTATCAGCTGGAATACATTAATTTTTTTTATCTGTGTTGTAATTTTGTTTATGCAGAATGTACATGTGCACATAATCTTACTGTTTTTAAATGAACACATAAGTGTGTCTGCAGAAGTGTTGTAAATACTTCTACTGTTACATCACCGTTCTTTTATTAAGAAATAGAATTAAGAATGAACTTAATTTAATAGTCTAATTCAATTTTAAAAGTCATAATGCACTCCATTATGAAAAGAACCAGTATTGGACTGCATGAAAGCAATGGATCCCCACAAATTCTTCTTTAGAGCATGAATAAGAATTACATTTTTGTTACCAAAATGTATACTTTGAATCTTAAACTTAGTCTTAAGCTAGTACCTCATAGTGCCTCAAATTCTGAAATCTTTTTCCTGTGATCTGTTTCATCTTTGGCTGATCAGACTCTTTCATTCTTTTCCTGTAACCAACTGCAAAATGGGAACTCACATGTGGACTGACTCTTGCACAAGCATACACACACACACACATATATGTGTGTGTATATATATGCACAGTTTTACCAAATATAATGTGATTCTGTATGTAAGGTGTGTACTTTTTTTTTTTTTCCCCCCCTGTTTTAGTGGGAGGAGGGCAACATACTCTTGTATCTTGCTTCTGTGCTTCCTTCCTTCTGTCTATTGTCACTCTGCCTGACCACACATGCTGCCTCATCATTCATCATTTCCCAAAGCCCTTGCCCACTGCCATGGCCCACCCTGTGCTCTCTTTTGTGCAGCACGGGTCCTGAGTTGCTTTAGGCAGTGAGCACTTATGGGAATTGCTCTGTCACACAGCAGCACGCTCAATAGTTCATTGGGAACTGAAAGCTGCTCATCATATGCCAATGCAAAGGCAGTCTGTCCCAAGTCTTTGGCCTTAAAGGCAGCACAGCACTAGAAGTAAAAGTCAGGTCTGTTTTCTGGCCCACAGAAACTCCTCACCTTAGACTCAGGTAAATACACAATGTACCACATGTATATTTTTTCTTGTTAGGTTTATGCGGTCCATGAACAAAGAATTGTTTGAATTTCTAAAGCAAGAAATGATTTTAGTTTTCTGTAAAAGAGGGTACGTTTTTAAGTTAATGAAGCAAAATGATAAAATGAGGATGCAGCTGAACCAGCTGAATCTGGCTAATCACAAGCAAAGTTACAGTTCTTTGACACAGTGCTGAAATGCTCAGGAATGTAATCTGAAGTATTTTGCATGTATTGATGTATTTGAAACATTGCAGTAATTCCTTTGCTGTAGCAATATTCCATATATGGCAATAGTCTAATGTAGGGAAGGACTTTTTATATTGTTCTCATTTAAGATACTGTGGTGATTAAATCTCTGGTTCTAGGGTTGTTTTCTTTTTCTTGGTTTTTTTTTACCACCTTCCAGTTTCCTTACAAGCATACACTTAACCACTTTTTCTCCATTCCCACCCTCTTATTTCTGTTTCCTTTTGAAGCTGCTCTTGGAGATAGCATAGTCTTTGAGGGCAACACCTTAGTTTCTCTACCACGACTACTCTGTGGCAGGTGCTTTTGGGGTATGGGTAAGCAGCCCCTTTTTTTTCCCACCTACCCTCCTCCATATAATCCTCTAGTAGCAATAATGCAGCTATAAAATCAGTAGTTTCTCCATGTGTCTTTACTCCTGTGTCTCTTAAAGCTTAACAGTAAACTTGTGATCCCCAGATTGTGGGCTACCAAAAGATAGGATCTATAAGAATTCAGAAACATGTTAAATTTGGAATGAAAGCACTAGAGAAATACAGAGTAACTGCAGTGTAAGACAAGGGCAGCCAGGCCCAAGAGAGAAGATTGGTTATTGGGTTCCTTGCTACCCACAAAGTATCTTTACAGAGCAGAGAAGATGCCCTAGAGCATGTTGTGAGGAAGATACTTACAGACCTCACTGGGAGCAGGTTTCAAAACTGACCAGGAGGTTGCGCTTATTTTATTTTGGCAGAGCTGGTTTGCACAGCTTCTAATTTTAAAATCATTAGATGCATGGGCTGGCTGGCTGATCCTTCATAAACAAGAATGAAATGGCAATTTTTTTATAGAGAACATGATTGCAAACGGAACGAAAATAGTATTTTTAAAATCTGTGTGCAGTTACATGGCTTCTAGAAGTGTAGGATGATAACCTTAATCTTTATTTCTTCTTGGTGTGATAGACCATGCTTTTCAAGTTCTTAACTTTATCAGAAAAACAAAGTGATTCATCTGCCTTGGGATTGGAACGCTGCTATTTCCATTTGCTTTTCCACATTCAGATTGTGTATTGTGAAATGATTTAGAATTCTTGTTTTTGTCTTACAAAAATAGAATTAACTCTGAAAATACATTAAAATTTTCTTGGTATTGTTACAGAGACCAATGGGTCAGATAACTCCATCCCAATGGCGTATCTTACATTAGATCATCAGTTACAGGTAATAAATATCTGCTTTATTAGACTCTTCATCTTGCATTTCGTTGCAATATGTGAATTTGGGGTTGCAAAATATAGTGCTGCATATTTACCTGAGTTTATATTCTGTCTAACTTTTGACCAAGGCTAAAAAAATATATTATGTAATCTGAGATTGGTTGACTCAGATTTGATCAAGCTATTAAAAACAAGCCCTGGGAAACATGATCCCTAAAACCAAATATAAGCTGAGTTTGACTGTCAAAATAAGACATTATTTGCTTGAGTGTTACTGACTTAAATTGCTGTATTCACTTTATTTGTTGTGCGTGGGATTAAACGTTACTTTGATTTTTGTGACAGAGAGAGTATCACATTAATAACTACAGATGTGAGGTTTGAGTCAACTTTGACATCAGTGCAGTAACATTTTCCAGGGCATGGTTTAACACTTATTTTTAAAAGCTTACTGTTTTTTAAAAGACGTTATAAATACACCGTAGAGACATTCTAACACACTGTATGCTAAGATATCAGTTCATTAGTTTTTAACATGTCTGATTTATTTTCAGCCTCTAGCACCGTGCCCAAACTCCAAAGAATCTATGGCTGTGTTTGAACAGCACTGCAAAATGGCACAAGAATATATGAAAGTTCAGACAGAAATTGCATTGCTGTTGCAGAGGAAGTAAGTGAAATGTGTTTAACCTTTCTGTTGTTCTGTATGTTTCTTTTACATGACATCTGTTCTCTGTGACTATTATGTCTGGCTTTATGAAGTAACATTTCATAAGGCATAATTATTTTCCAGCCTTAATCTTAGAAATACTGAGCTGTTCAGTACAGGTGAGATATTTAGAGCAGGTAATTGAAAGTTTTAATCGGTATCCAGACTCTTCTGGATGAATCCTGCTTTAAAGTGTGTGGCACACCTGTGTATGTAACATACTAGTAATGTTTGTATCATCTTGAATGAAAGACCTGGACTGTTGAGAAGCCTTGAAATCTTACTTCCAATGCTGTCCAGTAAAAGTTTTTCAACTGTAATTTGTAGATAATCACTTGGATAATGGATTATAGAATTTTGAGTAATATGTCAATGTTACTTTTTTGGTTAGTTTTTATCTTACATCTGACTTTTGTCAATCGTCGCATTTACAACAGTATTGTCAACACACATCTTGTGTTTTTTTACCAGGGGTTTAGGATCTAATACTTAAAAGCCATTATGTACCTTCTTATCCTTGTGCACTAGAAATAAACTCTTTCCTCTTCCATTGTGTACACGTAAAAGAGAAGCAACTGCATGTATTGTTGGACTAGGGCCAAAGTTACTGCTGATTCAGAACGTCGGTTTGCAGTACGTTCTGTCATGTTCAGCTTCTCATCATTTCTGTTTCCTGACACAGGGGAGCAGTTCTGAGAGGTGATACATACTCTCATGCTAGGCCAAGTAACCAGCTTGTTACCCACCAGTGTCTGAGCCACTGCAGGCAAGCTACTGTTAATGAGGGGCTTGCCTCAGTGTTTGTGGAATAGCTAATGAGAAAAATGTGTGTATAAACCTCTTCTACATTAGAAATAGCATACAGAACGAGGCAAAAAGCTACTGTAAGATCGACCTCCTAGAATCTATTCAGTTTTGGCTTAGCATCCCAAGAACAATTTTTTTTTCCAAGTGCAACTAGAATTTTTAGACTTCATGAGGAGATACTGAAGCTGACATGAAGATCTTAATTCTCGTTTTATATCTGTTGTCCTTAAGGGTCAATAAATCATATAAAAATGTGTTTCTGTTTCAAAACTGTTAATTCTGTACCTTTTGATTCCTACTTTATGTTTTTTTTTTTTCTAGGAAGTCCACATGCACATTTCTCCCAAACTGTGTTTTCTTAGTCAGAACATGATTGCCCATAGGTGTTAAAACAAAAGATAGTCTTGTAATTGATGAATTTTGTGCTGGTTAAGGTAGTTATTAGTTCGACCTTTATAGAATGATTAAGTTGTCTTCAACTGTAATTACAAACCATATGGCAACAATTAATTAACATGAACTTTCTCCTCTACTGTTTTGTTGCTAAAATATTGCTGGCAGATTGCCTCCTTTGTCACCTCATAAACAAATAGTAAAACAAACTGCTACATCAGATTTGCAGGATAATTCACAGCAAGTTTAACAGTGTCTTTGTTCCTCTAAAATCATTGCTAAAAAACATATTGAACACTTTTGGCATAAATTAAGTGAAATGACAGTTACAAAAATAATTTGCTTGATTCTGCTTTTCCACTGCTTTAAGAAGTTCAAGTCGAAATAGAAAACAGCACTTCACTAAAAAGCTACCAAAATTATTGCAATTTTGTCTTTTAAATTACCTTTTGAGCTTTTAAATGTACGTATAGTTAAGCAAAATTAGAGTTGAATATATTTATGGAATTCTGTGTGGATCCTTAGGTATTTTACTGTGACCTGTAGAACTACGTTTGAAAGACATTATATAAAGCACAGTTTTAGAGATTGAGGCTATGACTTGCAGCTACTTTAAAGTTTAAATGTGGATTTGATTTGGAAGAGAATTTTTCCCCAGACTGCAGTAAAGAATAAGGTTTGGGGGTTTTGTCAACCCCCCCCAGAAATCACCAGCCATGAGTTCAGACTGATAATCAAATACTGATTTGAAACATATGAAGTCATCTACACGCAAATAAAAGTAGATTATAAATGACAATTACTTTTTTTTTTTTTTAAATTTTAGGCAAGAACTGATAGCAGAACTGGACCAGGATGAAAAAGACCAGCAAAACACATCCCGTCTGGTACAAGAACATAAAAAGCTGTTAGATGAAAACAAAAGTCTCTCAACTTACTATCAGCAATGCAAAAAACAATTAGAAGTCATCAGAAATCAGCAACAGAAACGGCCAGGCACATCATGATTTCCTGGGACCTTTCAAATGAAAAATATGCACAGAAAAGACTGATATTTTTTTTATTGTTATTATTATCCCTTATTATGACAACTCATGAGTGTTAGCTTCTTGGTGTGATCTGTATTTGTCTGCTACACTTAACATCATTTAATTTTCTTTTTCCTATGGTGGACATCCAGTTCAACAGGTTAATCAAATAAGGTGAGAAAACAGTGACTTGAATTAACCAACAGCCCTCAGTTTAAAGCAAGACCAGTGGCTGTATGCATGCTCCTTGTGTGAAGGCTAGCCTAACAAGTGTTACAGTGGCTGCTAACTTTTAAGATCTTGTTTTTAGTTTTTGGTGTTACCTCGATAAGAGCAAAACAAAAACTTTCCTGTTTAAGAATGGTTTTGTTCCAGTGTCTCATCTCAAACTATTAATATGATGATTTTTTTCAGGACTTAAACATGCACCAGGCTGCAGAGGTGATGTTGGCTGACCAGAGTAATTCATGATGCATTAGTGATGCCTTTTACCTGTAGACGTAGTGTATTTTTTCCACATGCAAAATGGTAGGCAAACTGATGCCAGCATCCTTGGTTCAGTGCTTGATAGCCCTGCATTTTGACTAATATATTTCTTGTAATCTTGCATTCATAAAATATTTGAAGTGAAAGGCTGTATTTTCTTTACTTTCTTGGGGGGAATGACATGCAGTTTCATTTAGTTTCTGGGCACAGGTTATGAAGGTGATGCACTGGGCAAAGTTGGTCTCTTGTATCAAAGAGAGGAGGAAACAAAAATGTGTGCAAGTGTGTTTTAAACCTTTAAAGCTTTTGTCCCTGTAGCAGCTTTGGAAGGAAATTCAGAAAGCAAATTAATACAAAACTTGAAATACTTGCTCCCTTTATACCACTTCCTGGATTTATTTTTTTTTCTTACAACTTATGTGCTGAAAAGCATTTACCATAAATGTAAATAAGTTTGGTTTAGATAGGGAGAGAAGGGTTTGGGGAAATGAATTTATTTTAAATAGCAAATTGTGAAATGGAGTTGAGTATGCAAATAGCGGAAGCTATTAAGAAAATGAGGGAAATGGCTTAGATCTCCATCAGGAATCTCAGTTATTCCACTCATTTGAACATAGTTCAGAGGAAGTCCATCACAGAATGCCTGCTGCCTTTGTGACTGAAGAATCGCATTTAATGAACTCAAGCAGAATATGTAATGATCTGTGTCATTATTTACCATTATTACATGGGAGAAAATAACTACTTGTTTACATGGCAGATTGATTATATGGATTATGAATTAACTTTTAACTGGTACAAAAATGAGGCACTTCTAAATATAATGAGAAATTATTCCTTACATAAGCTTGTGGTGTACTCAGTTGTGGGCAGGGTTTTAATAACGCTCTTTTGCAAAAGGAAAATAGAAAATTGAAGTTTAGCTGCTAAGCCCTCAAAATATAAGCCAAGTAACCTGAAGTTTGACTTACGCTTATTTCAAATGAATAATTACTCATAAAAGCCCATGGGCAGAACTTGGGAAAACATCAAGATACCTCACAGTAGTTTCTCTTCCCCTTCCTGCCTGTGTGATAAAAAAGCATTAATAGTATTGTGCTTAGCTGTGAACAACAAAGATGACGAACAGTTTACTGAACAGCATCATCCTCTCTTGAAAATAAGTCTATTGTTGGCAAAGCTTTGGGAGTCACAAACCCTTCCCTCATTTTATTTAAATAAAGGAAGGGTTATCATTCCCAAAACCTTAGCAGATAATTTGATTAGTTAGCTGAAACTGATAGTGGGATCAACTTAAGGGCACACATATTTATAGCAAAATGTAATTGGCAGGGAAAATAACTGTAGTATTAGGAATAGCACAAGTTATCCAAAGCATTGCTGTTCACATACATCTGTCCATCTACCAAAATGGACACACTCGGTGATCAGCAGCTTGCTTAGCATGTGCTGAAGCATGAAGTAGAGCAGCACAAGTGCTCATCCTCAGATGCATGGCTGATAATTACATACACAAAATCATTTCCCAGGACAGTTTTTACAGTTTGCAAAACAGATACGCTTAAGGTAAATCACTGTTGTATACGAGAAGTAACTTTATGGCAAAGTTTGAATAATGAGAATGAACACAATGCTAACTTAGAGGTATGTAATACAAAAGTCTGTTCTAACAGTGGTTTACGGCTTTTTGGGGTTTACATTCAAAAGGGTCTCGGACTGTAAAGTCAGCGCTGTGCTACCAGGCACTGTTGAACTTGGCTCCATTCAGTAGTTAAAGTTATATTGCTCTTGTGATTTTCAAAGGGAATTTGGAGTTTGACCTTTTGCCTTCCCTTTCTTAACTCCACCAAAAAGTTCAAAAACTGTTTGCCCAGATTTCCCAGTGGAGTGTTCTGTGTGGCAAAATATGTGTATCATAAAAAAAAAAAAAAAAAAAAAAAAAAAAAACCAAAACTGTAAGCATAGAATAGAGCAGTTTGGGCTAAGAAGAGTTTAACAGCTTAACTTTCAGTGACCTTTATTATTTTCATAAGGCTCTTGTTTTAAAGTTGTTTACAAATGTACTTTTATTTTTCTGTTAAACTATCTGGAGTGTTCAGGATTTTTTTCATGTACTCTTTTGTCCAGTTAAAGCTGTTCCTTTAATAACGGAGGTGAACCATCTAGTTTTGTCTGGGCTCTGCCTTCTCAGAAAAGGTAATAGGCTCTGCTTTTTGTTACAGTATGTGTTCTGTAAGATATTGTGTAATTGAAAGTATGCTTCTGTACACAAAAATGCCTTTTTTAGGCTCTTGGGGTTTTTTTTTTTGTTTCTGATGAGAAGTTGAAGATTGTAATTCATAACTTGTACATAAAATGGTGAATGATTTCATATGATTCAGGAATGAGCAGTGTGGCTTTCTGCTACAGGGTTTTATTGCGTTGTCAGGAATCTAATAAAAGCTGAGAGACTTCCACAAACGCGTAGTAATGCCCCAACGCTTGCCAGGGCATCCTTGATCTCCGATGGAATCCCACAGGGGGTGGGGGAGAATCATCATGCAGTTGTTCCCACCGCCAAAAGAAAATTCTTCTGCTATTAGCTCTTCCCTTCCTGTGTGCAGAAGTGGGGTGTAGGATGAATAGTCCCACTCATAGCTGAGTATCACGATATTTTAAGAATGCCGCATCTTTCATACGGATGTTCTGACAAAAGATAAGCACTCATCTTTCGTTGTTCAGTTCGGACAAATTCCATTCCCTGGAGCTTTGCTGTTTTGTTCATAATGGATTTTACTGCTTGAGAGTTTCCGTTGCCATACCGCAGACAGGAACGACTCCTGAACTCTCTCCTGGCCTGTGAAGAGCACAAAATAGTGTTTCAGGTCTCTTCCGAGCTGCGTGGAACAACTCAGCCGTTTCAGGTGCCCTGCTGAAACCTGAAGGGAAGTTGGAAAAGATAAGGGCAAAAAAAAGGCACGGCACACTCAACCTGGTGACCTGGTTGAAGAGGAGGATCTTACAAAAGTAAGCCTGTGTACGTGTATACGCACACGCATACACCGTTATGTACTTGGGCGTAGAGAGCTGCCTATGCCAAATCAGAATCTATAGGTGTCTCTTTATTTGCAAAATCTGAGCTTTCTGTAGTTACAGCTGCAGCTGCGAGTTTCGGCTTCCCTCGGACCTCTTAAAGCAGTGGGTGCTCTCTGCGCAGATATGAATCTGCTAACACTGGCGTTGCAGGCTGGTGGAAAAGCGAGGGTGTTCCCCTTCCCCGGCCATGCTTTTCCTTCTGCTCATGTTGAATGGGAGAGGCTGTGGAGCAGCTGCACGTAGGCTCCTCTCCTGTGGTATTTAGGCAGAGGACTGAGGAGTGACTTGCATTCATATAACCAATGGGATGGGATGGGACATGATTTTAGCTTATAGCAAAAAATTAGAAAAAAAAAATTCCTAGTTGTAGGAGACTTGAGGATTGTGTGATGAGGTGGGTATGCCCAAGAGCTCTGTCTGGCTCTGTTCCTCTCCTTTTTCATGAGGAGCAGCAAAGCGGACCTCGCCTCTTGGGCCGCCTTTGAGCAACGTGCAAGGCCGCCATGACTGTCCCTGTATCTCCTCCGGCGTGAAAAGAGGGGTGGCCAAAAAGCTACTTGAGAAAACGAAGAGAGCTGTTTGCACTGAGCCTTTTATGCAGCATTGCTGGTATCAGTACAATATATGTTTAAGGCTACTCGGACTGCCTTCCAAAACCAGGCAAAGTTAAAAAGATTAGGCTAAGAGAGGGAATAAACTGTCCTGTCATCTGAGGAGGTCTGTATTTGCCAAGGCACCGCTGCAGGAGTGTTCCTGTGAACGTTCTCCAAGGCCCCAGAAGAGCCTGCCTGTGCCCGTCACCGGAGGACTCCTCCAACAGCTGTCTCCAAAAAGTTAAACCTGGTACGTGCAAATCAGACTCTTATTAAAGTTTCTTACATCATCGTTAGCGACGCGGCTAGAGCATAGCTGGGAATTGTTCGTGAGGTAGAAGGTGAAGCTAATTTAGCTCATCCTCTGAGGGCTGCCTGGGATCTGCCAGGCACAAACTGCTTCTGTCAGTAAAGTGCTCGGGTGGAGCCAAAAAGGCAGAGCCGGCGTGAGGAGCCATTTCGGTCGGTGCAGCTGTGCTTTACATCAGAGCACAGCGCCATGGGTGACTGCTAGCAGGCGTGCTGGTGAGAGCTGTGATGCTGGTTTTTTATTAGAGGACTTCAGCCACCACTCCAGGTGTCCTTGAGTGCTGGAAGACACCGAAGCTGTAGCAGAGCGTGAGGTTTACAGTCATCTTTTTATGCTCTTCAAAAACACTAGGTACCGAGAGATGGCTGAGCAGGGGTTTGGTTTATTTGTTTTGGAAAGAAAAAAAAAAAAACCAAAAAACAAAACCCAATGGCAAGGGTCACCGAGCACCCTGTATCCCACATCTCTGGA